CCGTACCCGTACCCAGGGCACCCAGGGCCTGTGCGACTATCGTTTGCTTGTTTTGCCAGGACTCTGCCGCCGCTTGGAACTTTCCACCCTTTTCTTATTTTTTATTCTAAGATTCCCTACCTTAGGGTGCCCCACCTCGTACCTTGTGCTCCACCAAAGCGACCGCGGGTTGCCTACCGAGCAGCTCCACCCTTGCGCGTCGACTCGCCTCCCCCCGCCGCCCCCGGCCCCGGCCACATGTCTTGCTCGCCCGCGGGGCTTTTCTCATGGCCCGCCCCGCGGACCGCGCACCACCACTACTACCAGCGCTCGCCGCGGCGGCAACTTTCAAAGTCATAAATATTTACCTCTGGCGCGGTACGTACGGCGTGAGGAGCCCTACTAGTTGAACTTTATGCAGTTCCAGCCACCTGATTCTCAATAAATAAGCTGGCCCGCGCTCTAAATCAAAAGTCTGTCCGGCCGGGCCTCGTGGCGGGCCGCAGCCTCTGGCGGGGCTCGCGCGCGCGAGGCCGGCTACAATCAAAACGGGACGCGCAGAGCGGCGCAGAGCGGCATGTAGGATGTCAGATTGGAAAATTTGCAGCAGCAGTGGCGGCGGCGTTCGGAACCTACGAACCGGGCAGGCCGAGCTGGCGGGCAGTCCGCGCTGCTGGAGCAAATGCGGGCCGGCCCAGACCGAGCGGCCAGCCTGCTGGCCTGCGCGAAAAACTGTCCCGGCCAGTTGTGTCCTCTGTCCCTCTCGCACTGGCGATGCTGTGAGGTCCCCCGGGTGTGGGCCGGTCACGTTATGGAGAGAGAGAGAGAGAGAGAGAGAGAGAGAGAGGTGGGGGTAATCGTTGTCGGCGTGCAGGGGGGGAGGGGTGTTGCCATTTTCCGCGTAGTCTGAAAAAAAGGCAAAAGCAAGGCTTTCGGGTCACAGCAGCAGCATCATTGGCGGATCTTAATTGCGTGTCGCGGCGATGTCAATGGCTCGCTCGCTTGCCTCGCGTGGCAAGGGAAGGGAGGGCGGTGGCGGCGCTGGCTGTCGAATCGTCCGGCCGGGGCCGAGCATCCACTCTATCCAATTAGGTAAAAATGCCGGCGGCGCGCCAGTTCCTCCTCCCTCTCCCCATCCCCACTCCCACCCCCGCCTCCTTTCTATTTGCGATGCTTCGCCGTGCATAACTGCACGGCTCCAGTTTCATGGTCAATACGGGCCTGTCCGTGGCCCGGCCAAGGCGCCAGCGCGGTAAACCCGACCTGAGCGTACGAGCCTCACCGCCACCCCCGTCTTTGCGTGGTTCGGGCAATCGAGAGATCGAACGGATGGTATCGACCCTAACGTCTTATTGCAGTAGCAACGGGGATGTTGTCTATCGCCTTGTTGCCTTTCCTATAAATGTCAACGAGAGTATGGCTCGAAAAGAGCACTCGAGCGTAGCTCCGTTCAAAGATTAAGACGAGGGGGCAACAGCTCCGGGAATCATGCGTGCACTTGCCTGGGAATCATCAGTATAAAAATTAATTGAAATCAACAGAAATCGCTTAAACTAAGCCGGAAGTTAGTGGAACTGGTAGAAATTAGTCGAAATAAGCGTTTTCTAATACTAGAAAACCTAAGAAATGAATACTAGCGGACGGGAATCACTAGGAATCAAGTATTTCGGGAATCATGTGTACACATCAAAAGCGGGTTATTGCCCCCTCAGATTAAGAGTTAATACACTAAAATCCACAACCGTGTTTGGTGTTTTCTCATTACTATATTTCCTCCTGCCTTTCTTCGTTCCCTTTTTTTAAAGCCTACTCATACCTACATATGCAGGAGGGACTGCATTCAAGTACGCACTTGGGTTTCCAGAGGAAACGATTTTCTTGAATTAAATGCTGACCGCAAGTTAAGTTTCTTTCTTGAAAAAGTTCGGACGAAAAAACTTGCTTCCAAATTTTAAATAAGAACGAATATGTCTGTTTTGAAGAGCAAAATAAACAATGGTGCGCAGAGATTTTGGATCAAGAAATGACCGTTGTTGAAGTACTTGCCGAAATACTTTATCCCCCTTTTTACGACTCCATCATTCTGTGTCTTCTACCTACCCCGTCCGTGGCACTCGCCTGCCTCATGCCTTTCCTATCCCATTCCCCTCATTCGGGTACCTACACCCTCCCCCCTCCTCCCCTCGTGTTCCCCCTCTGCCTCCCTTCACTCTCCTCCTCTGCTATTCCTTCTCTGCCCTCCCCCTTCCCTTTCCCTCCCGGGCTGCATACAATTACGCATTCATGCAGGCGGCCCAGGCCATGCAGGCAGGCGGGCCTGCAGCTCCGCGGGCACGTCGTCCGTCGTCGGTTTGGGGGAGGGGAGTAGGGGGTAAAGGGGGAAGGGGTTGGGCATGAAGTAGGAGGGGAGAGAGGTACGTCCCTTCCGCCCAGGCCAGGCGGTTCGTGCAAGCACTACTCTCTTGTCGGACCCAACCCGCCCGCCCAGCCGGTGTTGCCAAATCGGTACCGATGCGACACCCTGCATGTGTGTGTGTGTATGCGACATGGCTCTGTGGCCAAGGACTGGTTGGGCAGGCGGGCCACATGCGCGTGTGAGTGTTCTTGTGACTGTGTGTGTGTATTTGTGAGTTCAGGTGTCGTTGGGTGGGGGACTCGCCGTCATCCCGGGGGGCGTTGGGTTCAGACCGAGTCACGTGGTGCATGGTTTGGCAGCAGCGCGTGTGAGCGCGTCCACACAACTCCGCCCGGGGGCGGCCGCACCAGCTTGTAAGGATAGGGTTGGTAGTTGATGAGAAAATAATTACATGAAAGTCGCAATGTGGTGCACGCTCACGCACGCTCGCACGCACCTGCGCACGCACATGTGTACGTCCGCCAGATCGCACGCATGCACTACCCACGAGACTACACGACCAGCGACTGTGAGACACTAGAGCGCTTGTCTGCCCTGGGATGCGCTTGTGGTTTTGGATGCGGACGAGACGTTGGGGGCCAGGCTGGCACAGGCCCCTGGCTGGGTAGGCCACCGGTGTACGGGCGTGCCGGCCTCCTGCCTACCTCGCCAGGGTGACGGCCTGCCGGCGGAGCGGAGCAGGCAGCGGCCGCTCTGGCTGCGCGCACGGGGTAGCGCCGAGAGCTCCACCGGGATGCCGGACCCTGTAAGGAGACTAGCTACGAGCTTCAGGGCGATAGGGTTCAGTGAGTTTGTGGGATGGAAAGGTAGTTATTCTGTTGGGGCTGACCCAACTGTCTTGTTAGGCTTCATGAAGCGGGCGAACTTGTTCTACTATTTTAATGCCTTGCTTATTTTCGTCTGATCCTCAGGTTGATGGTTGGCTTGCTGTTGTCGTGGATAGCTGCGTAAGCGCAGCTGCAGGACGCAGGTTAAACTCATGGTAAGTTCACCATTGCTCAGAAGCGCGCTCAGCAGTATATTCTATTATGTGTCATCTCTAAGTAAAAATGCGAAGCATTTGACAGCTTTGTAACACAACGCGTTTCCTCTGTACTCCAAAAAGTGTTTTTCATTTGCAAAGATTTCAAATTGTTTGGAAGTCCGAAGGATTTTCTTCGCTCTGTTTAAATAATGCTCGATATAAAGACGCTGTTCGCGCGTATTCCCCTGTTTTTCAGGAGCCTGGCTCTAAAGCTCCGTCAGTAGTTAACGACTTTCTTTTTTTTCTGTGTGGGAGGGAAGCAAGTTAGCACGGGGTCCGTTTGTACGCCATAGTCGATAGCCTGGCGGACGGCCTGGCGAGGTATCTCTAGCCTAGGACTGGCTTCTAACCTTGGGCCGGCCTGTGAGGAAGCTAAAACACCTGCCGGACGGGCCGTGCCGGGCGGTGGCGGGCGGTGGCGGGCGGGGCGACGCTGCACCCGGCCAGAGCTGCACCCGGAAGCCGCCGGCGAGCCGTTTAGATAGAAACCTGCTTCGGCTGCTCGCTCTAGGTGCATGGGAATCCATCGGCTGCCCCTGCGCGCTCGGCCGTAAGTTTTCCAGCACCTTGCGGGCAAAAAATGTCAAGGTTGTGCCGGTGGCTCCGGAGTGGCGGCTTGCGGCGTGCGCTCTGCCAGCCACCAGCCATACCGCCGACTGGCTGCTTTCGGACCGGCGGGTGAGAATCGGAAGCGCTACAGGCAGTGGCAAGGTGCCGATGATGTGTCCACCGGTAAATAATCCAGGGAGATGTGTCGCGTCGAGCCAGATATACTGAATATCGATTGGCTCTGCCAGCAAAACGTGTCCATCCACTTTGAGAAGTCTACACGCTGGCTTGAACAATTTACACGATTCTCTATTTACGCTCACACAGCCTGGGCTAGGTTCACTTCGCGACCTAGTCCAGCAGGGCCCTAGGACCTCACACGGTCCCGTTCTCCCCCAGCAGCACCAGCGGCAGCCCCCGACCGCGCGGATTGAGTGTCGTTTAGGACGGTCGTTAGCGTGGGACTGCTCTGCTCTGGAGGCCCCCCCCCCCCCTCCTCTTTCCCAAACGACGTGGCCACACAGGCCTGGCCGGCCGGTTGACAAGCCCCAGCGCAGCCCCAGCCCCAGGCCACATTCGGGAACATAGCTTCTCCCCATCCCTTCCCCCTTTCTCGTTCTCATCTTTATCCCCTCGCCTTCCTCCTACTACTGTAAAGGCTTCTGCGTCCTCTCCGCAAAAATTTTACGACGTGCTTGTGCCAGGGGGAACGAGATCATTGGAGTTAAAAATTCCCCCTTCCCGCATTCGTCGCTGAAAAACAAGTGAGAGGGAGGGGTACGAGAAAGACAGAGAGACGAAGGAGGTTAGAGTAGGACCAGGTGGTTGATTTGCCCCGTCCTTATGCACCGCATTCACGGGCTGGTGGATTTGCCCATCGTTTCTAGCTATAGAGCCTCACGGCCCGAGCGAGTAGGCAACCCGTACCATCGCATGTATGCTGCACATTCTTAACTACATAAGGTGAAGTGAATCTGCCAGCTAGTGTCATAAATTACACACGTAGTAAAAAAAGGAAGTCGCGCGTCCTGGCTGAAGTTGCGTCGGTTTTGCTCTGGCCCTGTTCTTTTTTTCGAAGTGGTTATCTCAGGTCCAGGGGGCTCCTGGTGGCGGTGGCGCGCAACACCTCCCTCTCTTCCACCCTTCCAACCCCCATCTTTCGCCGCAACCCCCGATGTGGCCGCTACTGATGCTTGTGGCCCGCCGGCAACTTTGGCGTGAATTGCTTGAACTCTTTTTTTCCTTTTTTGGGAGGAAAGTTTTTTTTTTTTGTTATTTCATTTTGTTATTTTATTTCTGTCGGGTCTGAAACTTTCAATTAGGGTGCCGCGCCGCAGCGCGGTGAGCGAAGAACGCAGCGGCGGCAGTCGGTCGCTGTCGGCCGGCTATCTCTATTCTTGTGTATTATGATTATAACAAGAATGTGGGGGGGTTGCTGCGCTGCTGCGCTGCTGCTGCCGCGGATGTATCGGACGTGACCGACCGTCTTCCATTATCCTGGCGAGATCAATGTGGTGCTGCTGCTGGACCCGGCCTGCTAATGAACAAGGGCCGCAGGCAGACGGGGGAGAGCCCACCTGCAGCCCACGCACGGAGTCTCTCTGCCCGCCGGCGCAGTCCGAGGAGAAAGACATGTCATGTGGTGATTTCCAGATTTTGTCGTTGAAGCCCCAAAACGTCTGTTTCTTGATGATTGTGTTGAACGCGTTAGTTAAAATGTTATTTTTTGTTACGACGCCTACGCAACCTATTCATGCCTTAAACCATTTAATTTTTTATTTTTATTCTTTGATTGGGGTTCTTAAATAATTGCCGAGTTTGGTTTTTGATAGTTCAAAGCAAAAGAGCTGGAAATCCTTGTGGCCGCGTCAGCACGCCGCCGCCATACCGTGCTGCAGCCTTGTTCTGTGGCCTCGCGGTTCAATGGGGGATTTTAGCATTCCCTCTTTTTTTTTCCTAGACTGCATGCGAAAATAGCCAGAGCCCGGGCTGCATGCGGCCAGCGGGCCGGCACCATCGGAGCCTCCCATGGGAGAATGAGCGAGAGAGGCGGGGGGCAAGAGGGGAGGGGGGTCATTGGGGTTGGAGCTGCCGCGCCGGAAACCGCGTCGCGTGGCTCGCTGCCGGTCAGCCCCCCTACCTGTGTTGGGCCCTCCCTGCAGGATTCCCTGCCCCCCCCCCCTCGCCCCCCTCGCAGCGATGTGCCGCCACCGGCAGCGGCCGCCGCTGGCTGCCATGGCCTCGACAATTACCCATTTTTTCCGCTACTCGATGCACCGCCCTGCAAGGCGCCCCGCCGTGTGTTGTGTGACCGCTATTTCCTTTTCCAGGGCTGGACGAGTAAGGTGGAAAAGGGGAGGGGGGGG